AAACAAAGCATCTTGAATACGCTTCAATGGTACGATTGGTCACTTCCGTTTGGCCATCGGTTTGAGGGTGGTAGGCGGAACTAAATTTAAGTGAAGTGCCTGACAACCAAAAGAGCTCCTGCCAAAATGTACTTAGGAACACACGATCCCTATCCGAGACTATGGATTTGGGAAACCCATGCGATCTGACAATTTCTTTCACAAAAATAGAAGTCACGTCCTTGGCTGTATATGGGTGCAATAAGGGAATAAAGTGAGCATACTTATTCAACCTATCCACAATCACCATATAGTATCTACATTCTTTGCTTTGGGCAGCCCACCAATAAAGTCCATAGAAATGTCTTCCCACACATGCTTTGGAATGGGGAGTGGTTGTAATAGGCCTATAGGTTTAAGGTTTTGAACCTTACTCTGTTGACACACCTAGCAAGCAGCCACAACCCTTTCTACATCCTGTTTCATTCCATTCCAATGAAAGGCCATAGCCAAGCGTTTGTAGGTCTGGGTGACACCCGAATGCCCTCCCCATGGGGAAGAGTGAAATTCAAACAACAGAAGTGGGACTCTAGTTGATCCCTTGGGCAAAACAAGTCTCCCTTTGTACCATAGACACCCTTTAGAAACTGAATATTGCTGATGTGACTGTGGATCCCTCACCAGTTCCTACATAATCACCTGAAGCTGCTCATCAGCCATAACCTCCTCTGATATTTCCACCAAATCAGCATTGGTGACCATTGAAATTGCACCATAGTCCATTACACATGATAATGCATCCGCTGCCTTATTTTCTAGGCCCGGCTTGTATTGAATTTTGAAGTCATATCCCATAAGCTTGGTCACCATTTAAGTTGCTCCCCAGCCAAAACTCTTTGTTCTAGGAGGAATTTCAAACTTTGATGGTCAGTCCTGATAATAAAATGATTGCCCAGCAAATATTGTCGCCATTTTTGGACAGCAAACACAATGGCCATAAGCTCACGTTCATACACTGACTTCACCTTGTTTCTGTTTGACAAGGATTGACTAATAAAATCCAAAGGTCTACCCTGTTGCATAAGAACCGCACCCATCCCTTTGCTTGAAGCATTTGTTTCCACTACAAACGGAATTTCAAAGTTTGGCATGGCCAAAGTTGGTAGACAAAGTTGTGCCTCATCCGACCAATGAAAATTGTTCTTCTTTAAGAGTTGTGTCAGGGGCTTAGCAATTATCTCGTAATTGCGTACAAAGCGACGGTAGTAACCGGTGAGTCCCAAGAATCCACGTAGACTTTTAATATCTTTAGGAATTGGCCACATTGTCATGGCAGCAATTTTAGCTGGGTCAGCTGATATGCCTGTTGCAAAAATGATATGCCTAAGGTATTCCAGTTGGCTTTCACCAAAACTACACTTTTTTCAGTTGATGCATAGTTCGTGTTGTTGTAACAACTCAAAAACCACCTTCAAATGGAGACTGTGAAAGAAAATCTTTGTACATGAGAATATCATAAAAAAAAAAAAAAAAAACGAACCTCCTCAAATGTGATCGGAATATTTCGTTCATGAGAGCTTGGAATGTTGAAGGAGTGTTTGGGAGGCCAAATGGCATTACGAGGTATTCGTAATGCCCCTCGTGTGTTTGGAATGTTGTTTTATGAATATCCTCTTCTCGCATGTGTATCTTATGGTCGCCAGACTTGAGATCCAACTTAGAAAAAATGGTAGCCCCTCCTAGGTCATCCAACAATTCCTCGATAACTAGGATTGGAAACTTATTCTGAATGGTTACGCTATTCAAAGCCCTATAATCCACACAAAAACGCCAGCTTCCATCATTTTTTTTAACCAAAATTAATGGACTAGAATAAGGGTTTGTGCTTGGTTGAATCAAACCTGAAGCCAACATATCTTGAACAAATTTCTCAATCTCTTCCTTATGGCTATAAGGATGCCTATAGGGACGAATGTTGGGAATATGTGCTCCTTCCTTTAACACAATGGCATGGTCACACTCCTTCTTGGGTGGTAAATTGGAACTCTCCTTGAACAGATGCTTGAATTTCGATAATAATTCTTGCACATTTTCAGGAGCCTCTTCAATAACGTTAAAGGATGTCTCCACATTAATTACATTCATCATTCCCAACTTAACATAAAAAGCTTATGCTTCATTTCGTAACTCCTTTCTCAAAGCCTTTAAGGATGCCACCGTTCTAGATAATGTTGTATCTCCCTTAATTTCAATGACTCGACCCTCTTATTGCACCTATATTAAATGTTGCCCCAAATCCGCCGAGAACTTTCCCAAACTTTTTAACCATTCAAATCCCAAAATTACATCCACCCCTACCAATTCAAATAAAAAGAAATCTTGTACTATCTTCAAATTGGGCAGCTGTAACTCCACCCCTCTACAAACACCTTGGCCTTCCAACCTTTGACGCTCCCAACCTCCACACAATATTCCTTAGTCTCTTTTACCGGAATATTCATCTCCTCAACCTGACTTGGTGACAAAAAATTATGAGAAGCACCTGAATCCACCATAACTATAACCTTCTTTACCGCTATTATTCCCCAAAATTTTAGGGGAAATTTTTTGAAGGCATTCCCGCGATACTACTAGCATGTAGATGTAGATTTATTTGACCCTCCACTTCCTCCTCCTTCCCTTGATTATCCCGCTTTTCTTCCTCCACCTCACATAATAGAATCACATGAAGTTGTTTGTTACGACACATGTGACCCCGAGTGTAAGGTTCATCACATCTGAAACACAAACCCCTTCTTCTCCTATCATTCTCTTCCTCCTCTATTAATTTTTTTAAGCTTCGTCCTCTTCGATTTGAACTCGCTGCACTTCCTTCTCCCGAACTTGCTCCAATCTGGTTGGGCTCTCCTTTATTCTCACTTGAGTGCAAATAAGTGGGTGACTAAGGAGTTAAAGTCTGATTCACAGGACCCCTTGAGAAGTCTTGGGCCCCAACTTTTCTTCCGGTCCAAACTATTTTTTGTGTCACAGGCCCACTAACTTGAGTTACCGGCCCAAATGTGCGACCCAATAAACAATTCCTTTCTTCCACCTTTTGTGCCATCTCCATCAACGTGGGAAGATCCCCCAAGCTAATTAACCTTACCTCCGCCTTCACCTCGTCTGTCAAGCCATTCATGAAAGCTCCCTTCATTAATTCCTTATCCGCGAATCGGAGCAAAGCTGAAAGAAGTTCGAACTGCTCACGATATTCCGTGACTAACTCCTTTTGTCTTAGACCCATCAAAGCTTCGTATGGGTTTTCTGTAGTTGCTGATTAGAACCTCGCCAAAATTGCTTTCCCAAAAACCGGCCATGTCATCATCGGAACTCGCAGTTCCCACCATTGAAACCAGTTCAATGCACGTCTTCTAAACACACCACTGTCGTATCCACCCGCTCCGCCGTAGGGATGCTATTGACTTCGAAATATCGTTCCACCCTATACACCCAGCCATGGGGGTCATCCCCCGGGAAATAAGGAACCTCAACCCGTCTTACCCGTCCTATTCTCCTCTCCTCCTCACAGTCATTGGTACTAGCATGATTGTCATTATGATTCGTGCCCATCTCTACTCTTAAGTCCCACACCACTGCTTCCATTCGTTCCGTCATGGCCCTCGTAATCTCTTCCATTTGTTTTCGAAAAGTTTCCTAGATCGAAGCTTGCATCCCTTCCAACCTGCATTCCATATTTTCCATGTGATTCTCCATTCGAGTCAACACCATCCAAAGGCTCCCAAGATCGGGAGCTCTGATACTAGCTTGATAGGACCTGGTATTATTGAATCGAAAAGGTAATAGCAGCGGAACAGAAAAATACTGAAACTAGAAAATATAAATCAGAGAATGTTCTCTGCCCTGTGACTACAGCCACCCCACAATACCCTTAATTCCTTCTCCCCCTATCCTCCTCCACTCTCCCGCTCTTTATTCTCTTTTTCTCCCTACGTATTCCCGCATCTCCTTTCCCCCAACCCTCCTCTGCCACGTGTGTTGTTAGTTACCTCCACTCACAACAAACTCATTCCCACTAGTGACCTTTTTGCCCCTTATGTGGTAGTAGTATTTCCAAGACCTTTGTTGTTAAGGCCCATCAGAGAATAATCCACACAATGGATTTAGAAAACAGTAATAAAAAAAAAAAGACAATGGCATTTTGGTTCCCTTACTCTCTCAAATTCACCAATTTCTTTTCTTTATGTATTGGATGCTAAGTTAACATATGGATCAAAATTGCACACTTAAAATAGTGGAAGATCAAATTTGAAAAAGAAAATGGTTGGATGATAAAACTCATGAAATTAAACAATTAGGAGGACCAAGTGTGCAATTTAGCCTAAAAAAATATGCAAATTCCATTAAAGTTGAAGATCATCAGCGAAATCCATAAATCGACAAGGTCTATCAACTATCAAAATTCTAATAAGCAACAAAACAGTTCATGAGTCTAGACAGAAGGTCATATCTTGACTAGCTCTTACTCATTTGAGTGAGGACAATACTTAGATACAATTTCATAAGTGCTGTCATTGTTTTTCTCTAATCTAAGTAGAGGTTCACCAAGATAATCTATGTTCACCTTCGATGGAAACCTTAATTACACATGTTATGAAAATAAAACTCTAATTCTAATTGGAAAACAGTGTCAAAAGTATGTATAGATCTAGTAATAGGTAATATACTTCACGAGAATGGTTAAAATTGCACACTAAAACTAAAACCATAAACCATCAAGGACAGAAAAGCACCAATAATGTAATCAAAATCTAAAATATAGTAAAAAGGTTAAAAAAAAAAAAGAAAGAAAGGACTAGCAAACTCAACTATAAGCAATGGCTAAAAGAAAGTAAATATATGGTTGTACGCGGTATATCCACTAAACGGGAGAGGGATGGGAAAACAAAAATAACGGCAAATTAGTGTCAAAGCATCAAATACTTCAAAAATATATTAACCCAAAAAGGTTACAAATAAAAAACCTACTTCTTAACAGGTTTCTTCTTTTGAGTTACATTGGCAGATGGTTGTGGCTTGGGATGCTTTTCCGCCTCACTTGGATCCAACCAAATAAGTGCATGGCGATTGTAAAAGGGCCAATTTGGGACAGTGAGCAACGTGGTCAGAACCACTCCCACGGCGTATATGAGGACCATCATTTTGAAAGAAGCCATAACATATCCACTTACAAATGCAATCACAGCAAATGCAAGCAGCATTATCTGCATCAGTTGCTCCGCCAGCTTTTGCCCTTGCCAATCCATCTAATCAACAGCAATTAAGGAATAAAACCGAGCATCAGTCACCCTAAGCGTTAATCGATATTTATATAATATAATCCCAAAATCAAAGTTTTAAACGACCAAATTTTGACCAATTTTGCTTGCAGTTTCCTGGAACATCAAGAATTACGAAAATACAACAAGAACAACCACAATTTAAAACCAAGGACAAAATATTGAAGCAAAAAACTATGACGAAAATTTGAAATAATCTAAGGAATTATCTAATAACACAAATTACCGGATCAGATCTGGGATAACCATACCCTGTACTGTGCCATAAAAATCCTCGTCTAGGTCTATGATTTTAAATTTGGGGAAAGTGGAAATTGCGATGAAAATTGGATAAAAGGGACAATTATGCCGACGTTCAGTGAAATAAAAACCCGAAAGAGTGTCTTCTGCTGAGTGATGAGATAAGAAAGGAAAGGAAAGGAAAAAAAGAGTGAGAACAAAGCAAAAGAAAAAGTGAAGTATAGTGATAGTGATACCTTGGGGGAAGAGAGAATACAGGAAAGCAAGAAGACGATGTTGAACCACGAAGTGACACTGAATCCCACCGCATCTAGTGTAATGTCTGAATTTAAATAAATTCCAACGCCTTTTGCTTTTTAAATAGTAAATCCAAGGATATATTAAACTTTAAGTTCTAAATTATTTAAAAAAAAAAAACTGAAAAGATTTTACTACTTAAAAAATTATCAGTATTTTTTTTCAATTTATAAATCATTTTAAGTTGAGTTAATAATTCAAATTTCATTAAAATTCTGATAAATTTAAACATTCAATGAATATTTTTTTACATATTTTTTAATGTTATTTTATTAAAAAACTTTATCTCCACAATTAATAAAATCCGAAGAATTCTTAATTAAAAATCAATAAACTATAATTTATACATCATAAACCTAATTGAAAATTTGTAGATTACCGAAACTTTTTAATAGTTAGTTTTAATTTTTTTTTCTTCTTTTTTTAATTGTTTCGGGAGTTTTAAATACGGTTTATACTTTCTGTTGTAGGATTACTTTTATAAAACCTCTTATTTATGGATAAAAGATAAAAAAAATGCTATATTAATAATAACATAACTTATGTCAAATAATCTTTATAATCTATTAAGATTTGTTAACTATAAAACTTATGTCAAATTTAAAATAAAAAAATAAATACTTTAAAGAGTGATGTTTAGGTGATTAGGACTCACGACTTTTCTTTTCTTTTTTCTCATTTCCTATTCTCTATTGCCATGGTGCTTGTAAACATTCAAAGTGACCAAAAATGGGGGTGTTTTTTTAGGTGATGTCTCAACTACCTAGTTTAGTGAGATTATGTTTTTTTATGGTCGAAATTGGTTATGTACTTTTAAAAAAGATTCAACTTTTTTCATCCAAATCAATCACATTGAACACAAGTATTATAAAAGAATAGAAATGTAATCTTCAAATGTATCTAAATATAAACACATTATTGCACTCTCACCAGTAATTGAGAATATTGAACATTGATATTGAAGGGTCAAATAATATATTATTAATAAATGATAAATAAATATAAAAAAGAAGAAAGAAGAAGAAATAGTGAAATAATAAAGTTATAAATATATACTTAAATATATTAAATGATCATTAATTTTGAGAGGACAAAATTACGAGAATTACAAAATTGAGAGGAGCTAAGAGGATAGAATTGTAAATATACAAGTAAATGTATTAAATATTTATTAAATTTAGAAGAATTAAAATCATAAATTATATGAGTAGCTTACAAAACTTTTAGGGGATCACAGACTTTTCAGCTTCTCAAGAAGATATGTCGTTGTCCGATTCTTTATTTCTACCACGGAAGCCACATATTAATAACAAAAGCCTACTACCAAAAATAAAAATCGATCACCAAAAACTAAAATTAATATTGTGTGACGAAGACCAGAACGGATAACTATTCACAATAAAATTATATTTGTGTTCAACCTTCTAAGAACATATTTGTTTCAATTATTATTCCCTATATTTTTTGTGGAAGCCAGCGTCATCCCCTAAAAATATTAAACTTGGATAAATAATTATCTCAAACTAACTCTCTTCTCGTAAACTTTTTTTAGTTAAATATATTATTCTCAAAATCACTCAGTAGTTCTTCCAATTGAGAAATTGATCATAAATATTATTTTAAAATAATTCAAAATTGAATTAAACTTATATAAAGTTAAAAGAACGGATTAAATGGAGTATATTTTTTTTACTTGTTACAAAAATATTTTTAAAAAATGTAAATTCTTTTAATTCTTTTTTTGAACATAATATTTTTTATTTTTTTCTTTTATCCGATTCCAATTACATTAATTTTAAATAATAGGTAATTTATTTTATTTTTATCTTTTTTTATATTACTAGGTTTTCACTTTCTATTTTATAACGTAATTTGTTATATTTTTTTCTTTTATAAAAAAATTTATTACATATTTATTACAATATAATATTTTTATAAATTTTATTTTATCAAATCTGAATTAATTTTTAAATCCTTAATTCATTTTTCATCAATTTAATAATTTTAAAAACATTTAAATCTTATAAACACAATCTTCCTCTTTCATCTTAAGATTAATAACCTATGTATAATAAAAATTTGTAATATATATAATTTAGTTATTTTATTTATGTAATTAGTTATTATAATTTTCATTACTTATTATTTGTAAGCATAAGCTACTATTTATCTGAACTGATTTGAGAAATAAAATCAATTTTCAAGACCATTATAGCTTTTAACTTTATCATCAAACATTTAAAAGCCTCCTTTCATCATATGCAGCATAAAAATTACTTGTTTTCTCATTCATTACATAATAAAAAATAATAACCAAAAACATTAATATAAGTGATTAATATGTTCAACCTAAGTAATCAAGTTCAAAATTTAACAAAAAAATATCTTTAATTCGACTTTACTTATGTCAACTAAGTCAAATTAATCATATTTATTGAAAAAAATACATAATAAAAAAAATACAAAACTTAAGAATGATATATTCTGCCTCAAGACAAGGTGAATATATAATCAATTTATTTAAATTTAAAATAAGTACTTATGAAATAAATAATTTTTTAAAAACACTTAATAAAAGATAGGATTTTAGAAGAAACCAATTTCATATAAAATAAAATTAGTACATAATCACAAACAAAAATTACTTTTTTTAATTAAAGAATCATTTATTTAAAATATAAGTTTAGATTAATTCACCCATAACCTAAACACGTTATAAAACATCTTTGATATGATAAAGACAGAACTGTCAATTACGAGTAATTTTAAAATCTTAACGAATTATTATTTTAACGAACAATTTTAAAATCTTAACCTAAACACGTTATAAAACATCTTTGATATGATAAGACAGAACTGTCAATTACGAGTAATTTTAAAATCTAAACGAATTATTATTTTAACAAATAATTTTAAAATCTTAATGAATTGTTATTTTAAAAAATATTGATAATTTGATATTGTAAAAAGATAAAAACATCTTTTCAACAAATCACTTTTAAATTTATATATTATTATTTGTTTATCTTATTTTATTTTCTCTTTATCAATCAGTCAAAAATAATATTTTAAGATTGTCAATAAATTGTAAAAATATCTCTGTCCTATTTTAAATATCACCAGCACCAATAAACTAAAACCTCCAAGCAAAGCTTTATGCCCCATTAGAATATCTTCAGTGCTAAAAAGTAAATTTAGCTTGCTAAAAATTGTAATTATAATATTTTCCACAAATGATCTTAGGAAGAGAAATTAATTATTTTTAAACATGTACATTCTCCACTTAAAATATTAATCGTAAACAAAAGTTATTCTCAAGTACTATGGCACCAAATTGAAAGTTCCTGTACGGCTGTTTCAATTTTTTTTATTTCTTTCGAAACTAATAATAAGTAGATTCGACTGTAAAAAAAAAAAAAGCATACTAAATGAAGGTTTAAAATTTCCAAAGTAATTTGAAATATAGTATGAAACTCATCATGCGATAATACAACCAACAAAACTGTCTTCATAATCTAAAAATGTTGGTGTCCTCAAACAATTAATTAAGTAACCTAAGAAGAGGCACCACTTCGAAGAGCTTGGGACTTCTTGCTTGTGGTCAACTTTGTCTCGGGCTACGGTTACAAGAATTAAGAATTAGATAATCAATCATCGAATAAAGAGGAATAACAAAAAATCAGATGAATTCAATACCTCCTTCCTAACAGGCTCGTCCCTTTCCGACAATATCAACTCTATGTGGCACGGTGATGACATATAAGCTACCAAAAGGAGTCTCGATAAATAAAACCGTGTAAAACATAAAAAACTCGTTAAAACAAATTTTTTCAATATTCCGAACATACGATTGATTCTTCCATGAGCTCGATACGTTCGACGCCTTTGCTTCTGTGCTTGATTGACTTGGATATGGGAAATGTATAGCACATCAACATCCAAACCTTTCACCTGAAAAGAGGCAATTTCAAGGTAAACAATTTTGGAAACATTTGACAAGCTTGAGAAAAAGCAAAAGAGTATACATATATATATGCATACTTCAGCATTGCTCTCGGCATTCTTAAGCAAATCAAGGATGAATTTGGCTGATTTAACAGGCCACCTTCCTTGGCCATTAGAGTGTCTATTCTTGGCTTGAGCTGTCCTTCCAACACCACGGCAAAATCGTCTGAATGGAATGGCCTGTTTGTGGGCAAGAACATCTTCCAAGTACCTTTTAGCCTTAACCAAGGGCAACTTCCTGATTGCAAAGGCAGTTTCCCTAGTATTCTGTAAATAGAATTTAAAACAAATTGTCACCACAGCATAGGTTCACCAACAACAATGGTTATTAAAAGGCACTCTCAAGTCTAGGAAAATTGTTAATATGAAACATAATATAGCCCACATTATTTGATGATGATTGCAACATGCTCTACCAAAAATGCACTTAGAAAAAACAAGAAAAACTTTACAAACGTTATAAACAATAAAATAAACAGCTATGTCACAACTGACAGTAAACTACAGGAAACCATTTTCAACATAGAAACAGATTAGTAAAATCATGCTTACAGCTAAATAAATAGTAACTATATAAACAAAACATCAAAACAAACTCATGAATAAAATTCATGTTTTATATTCCTTGATATTACGGGAGGTCTGCTCACAGGTAACATTTCCCGGCTTTTTTCATCAGGTTGATTATTTATTAAAAGGTACCATCAGGGTTTTGTACTGGGTTGCATCATTAGGTGACACTTTACTCAAAAACTGAAAACAGAGGGTCACCCAATGATTACTATAATTGTTAAGGTTAAAAGTGGCCGCTCGCACAGGTAACATGCTCCTTCTTTTCCATCAGCTTAATTCAATGTTCATTTTAAAAGTTTTCTTCAGGTTCTTTTACCATGTGTACCATCATTTACTGAACCTTCAATCAAAAACATAACAGAGGTTCACCCAATAACAATGAGTATTATATTCCTGAAAGGTTATGAGAGGCCTGCTCAAAGAGGCAACATGCCACTGTTATCCATCAGGTTAATTCAACATACTTTAGAACAGGTTTTTCAGAACGTGTGCCATCATTTACTGAACCTTCAGTAACAAACAGAGAAAAGAGGTTCACCCAATAACAATGGTTATTGCATATCCCTGAAGGTTCCAAGAGGTCTGCTCACACAGGCAACACACCCCTCTTTTTTCATCAGGTTTAGACAACTTAAATTTGAGTGAATTGTTTATGGAATTAATATGATGAACACATAAACAATTTAAACACATATATCCTAAAAAATGCCATTAAAACAGTGTAGCCTTATGGAATCAATATGATGAACAAATTGTGATTACAAGGTAATTAACACGACTACCACACGAATCATAAGGATGTTGAGCATTAAAAGTGCAAAATTTTCCACCATTTACTGAACCTTGAGTCACAAAAAAGACAGAGGTTCACCCAACAACAATGGAGATGCTGTCCCCTGAAGTAACGAGGGACATGTTCACACAAAAATAAACAGGTCCCTGCTTTTTTCATCAGGATTTATTAGCATAATCCAAATTTTCATTTATCAATTAAATCATGCTGAAATAAAGGATGGAAAGAGTATAGAAGAAGGGTTTAATTATTTCATCATTAACGACAAATAAAATTAGTTTTTTGAAACCCAAGATGAAAAACACAGAGAATGGTAACAGAAATAGCAGGATTTGGTACCTTGAAATGAACCCTAAGGTCCGCGCCTCTAGCCTTGCAAGCTGCATATAGAAAATGATAAAAATGCTTAGATTGAGACCTTGCACACCGTTGTTTTAGAAGCGAAATTAATAAACATTGATTCAACACCAATGGGACTTACACTTGGTAGGATTGTCCGGCTCCCTTGAGTACTTCACCTGCGGAGAACAAAATAATATATATATATATATATATATATATATATATATATATATATATATATATTCAGAGGATGGTATTAATACGTAGTGTTAAATTGATAACGAAAAGTGGTCACAGATCTCATACCAAGCTAATTCAACTAAAGAAGAGAATACAAGAAGAAAGAGAAGAGTGCATACCATTGCGGCTTAACGGACACCTTCAGAGTTCACACAACCCAGACTAGGCTCTCAGCTGCAACGGAAGAAGGAGGGATGACGGAGTTTATATAGTAGGAAACCCTAGTCTCGTGGGATCAGCCATATGGTATAAGTTGGGGCGATAAGGCCCAACCTGTATTCCAGCCCACAGTCCATTCCATTCAAATGTGGGAGTGGGAGCGATGCCGAAAAAACACCGGTATGGGCCTAGAATGTTTTATAACAAAAGCAATAAAAATGTTATATAAAATATACGCTTATACATGTATAAGAATTTTAAGTCACTGTAATCATTTCTAGATAATTTAGAAAGAGTTGTTTGAAAATAAATATAAATATTTTATTATGAATTTTATGTATGAGTTTCTTAAAATTTAATTTTGTTTATATAAATATTTTGTTTTTAATTTTAAATAATTTTTTTAATTTAAAATCATTTAAATATAAAATTTAAAATAAAATATTTATTTTTATTTATAAAGCAAGATATCTCTTAATTTATTATAATGCAACTCAATTATTACTTAGATGATACAAGGTTTATGTAAAAAATTTAATTTATATTCTATTAAACTTACATTTAGGTCAAAATAATAATTATTACTATGACAATAATAATATATTATTATTAATTAATTAACGACAAAACAATAAAAAGGTAAATATTAAAAAGACAACTATATTTTATTCTAAAATTATAATAATCTATAATATTTAACTCGTAATATCTATAGTGTAAAAATTATTCTCAAATAAAATAAAAGACACAAAATGATTTTTGTTTTCACTTTTGTATTTTATATGATTTTCCATTGTTTCATTTCTCTTCGTTGTGTTTAGTGATTATGATTCCTACATAATCTCTTAATAATGTAATGTGAATATACAATATAATGTTCCTACTTAATTTTTTAATATAATCGTAATCAATTATTTTCATGAAAAATTAATCTAATTATCTTGTGTTAATTGTATGATATATAATTTTTTAATGTCTATACAAAAATATAACTAATTAGTGTTTTAAGATAAAAGGGTTAATTTAGATATTTTATGAAGAATTTATAAAGGGTAATTTATTTTAATAGAGTATTTGAAATGCTTTAAAATTGATTGTTTTGATAGATAATTTGAAAAGTAATTGAAATTTTAAAAATTGATGACAATATTTGTATTACTTAAAATAAGATAATTTCAAATTTCACATATAAAGTAAACATTTGAAATTTTCTATATTTTTCCTTTCTCATCTAGTAAAAATAGGCTTGATCCACCCAAATCCAACCTATTTCAACTTGACTAATCTTAATCAGGCCAATTCATCTTGATTTGATCCCTCATAACCTAACACATCTTGTTTTTACTTGACCCAACCTAGAATCTTGATATGTCCTATTCACTTTATGAATTGACTTAACTCATATGGACCCAACTTGAATCGACATGGTTTAATTCATCTTGACTCATCACATAACCTAACACGACCCAACCCATCCCAACTTGTCAGTCTAATTCAACTTGACTCAACTTTTCTAACCTAGTACAATTTGTTTTGATCGGGTTTGATCTTATTGATTTGGTTTGATCTAATCTCACTCACTCGATCTAGTCTGTCATTATCTGTTTGAGCCCAACCTTATCTATATGGCTATGAGTTAAATCTAATTCACAATATAAAAATGATAATTTTGATAAATTTTATATTTAATAGTGTTAGATATTGTTTAGATATTATTTAAATATTGTTTAGATATTGTTTGATACTATTAAGATATTGTTAGATATTGTTAATCATAATATCTTTTGTTTATTCTGTTACTTTCAGTTACTCTTTTAGTTATACATCTCTCTACTATAAATAGATTACCCTATGTGTGGTTTATACACAAGGGAGATTAATATAAAATTCTATTTTCTCTATATTCAACATGGTATTTAGAGCTTAAGGTTATTTTGAAATTTTTTCACCTTTATCCACTGTTGGAGCCGCCACCGTCGCTGTCGGTTAAACTGATCTTTCACATCAGAAAAGAGTTATTTTTGTTACTGGATATTATTTGGTAGTGTGAAAGTGCATGTCTAGGAAGGTTTTGACAAGGAAAGACTTGGTATTTAAGCGTGTCCATTAGTGACCCACCTCTCTTTCCTGGGAACTTACCTGGTGTACTGGTTCATGTCGTTATCACCACCGCCGTCACTGCCTCTAGCCTTTATGACTTCTTTCGCTCCTTCTAGTACTTCCAATTTTATCAGTACTGCATCTGATCCTTCCATCTACACTAACTATGTTAATGTGCACTTATCCATTGACAAGTTAACTGGCCCTAATTATGCCACATGGTCATCAGACATCAGATTATGGCTTAAGAGTTAGAAGTATCTTGATCATCTTGCCCCGAAAGCACCTACTCTCACTCCTGATGAGGAAGACCATTGGAACACCATTGATGCTCAATTATGTGTGGTTCTCAAGGGTACTCTTGATCCTTCGTTAAAACAAATTTTTCGTTCCTACGAAACGTGTGCCAAAATCTGGGAACATGCTAAGTTATTATATAACAATGATACTCAACGTCTCTATGGTGTCTGTTCTAAATTTGTAGATGTTATTGCCTCTAAACATCAAAATTCTATGACTGATTATATGGGCAAAATTCATGCTCTTTTTCATGAGTTCAATGAGTTATTGCCTCCTTCCCCCGACCCTGCTACCGAGATAACACAACAATCAAAGTTCTTCATGCTAGGGGCATTACACGGACTTGCTGATCAATATTCACATATCCGTGATCAAATTTTGGATTCTCTAGTTGTCCCCACCTTGACTTTGATATGCTCCACTCTTTTGTGTGTACCAGCAAAACCCAACCCTAACACACCTGCTTCTATTAATGATTCTTCTGCATTGGTATCTTACCGTGATGACCAAACTCGCCCTCGCAAATAGGGAAAAAGGCGTCCTAAGTGTGAATATTGTGGCAAGCTAGGTCACAAGATTGACCAGTGTTATGCATTACATGAGTGTGAACATTATGGCAAGCTAGGTCACAAGATTGACAAGTGTTATGCATTACATGGTCGTCCTCCTCGATTTGTTGTAGTTGTTCAGACTGATCTTTCCCCACCTTTATCTACTAGGAATCCTCCTTCTTCTATTTCATCTGACACACATGTTATGTTCAACAAATTTTTCAAATGGTATAAGGATCAACAGTCTTCTAGTTCCACTGTGTCTGTCACACAAACAAGTATGTCTTTTGCTGGTCTAACCCAATCTTCTTCTTCTTATCCTTGGGTTTTTGATTCAGGAGCCACTGATCATATTACTGCTAACAAATCTTTGTTCTCCTCTTTATTAGAAAAGGAGGTTGAGATCAAGAGGGGGGGTGAATTGATCTTTGAAAGATTTTCACAAATTACAAATTATCTATTTCAAAGATTAAGAGTTCTGACCAATTCTTGAATCAAACAAAGCAAACAATCAAAGTAAAGGCAATGACAAAACTAAAGAGAGAAAGGTTTAGAAACATACAATCAAGATTTATACTGGTTCACCCAATCCCAGGGCTACATCCAGTTTCCAGCCAAATTCCAGCTGGGTTCCACTAGATTGAATGTTTTACAGATTACAATTCCAATCACACACCCAATCTACCACAAGAACCAAAATTCCAGTCCTTGCACCTAAACCTTCACCAAGCACCAACTTCCAGTTCTTGATTAACCCTGCAGCCAAATTCCAGCCACAAAAACCAATGCCCACAATTCCAGGCACCCACAATACAGTAAAGAAGAGTAAAGAAATAAAGAGAAGAAACTAGAACGCTCAAACCAGGTTTATGCAGCTCTGCAGAATGAGTTTCTTCACAAAAAGAATGCAAAATTTGCCTCAAGAAAGAGCTACGAAAAACTTTACAAAACTTGCGCCAATCTCTCTTGAAAGTAGCACTTATGATTGCTTGATTGATTGCTAAAAGATGTGTTTTAAAATGTTCAAGCAATTCTTGTTTATATAGAAGATTTTCCAAACTGCTGGTTTAATTAATCTGTTAAAATAATCTTTTAATCTGTTAAAAGTCTTGTTTTAATCTATTAAAACTTCTTTTAATCTGTTAAAATGTTCTTGATCATTTTCAAGATTTATTTTAACTGATACGACAACGTTTATATCAATTAAAACACTTTGTAAAAAATCCTTCAAATTGTTTTAATCGATTGTTTTGTCTTTTAATCGATTAAAATACTGCCAAAAGTTTTCGTAAAACTTTTTAAGTGATTTTAACTGATAACAATCTATTTTAATCGATTAAAATACTTTGAAAAAAATCCTCTTAGTTATTTTAATCGATTGAAACACATTTTAATCGATTAGAATTCCGCCAAAAGATTTCATAAAACTTTCTAAGTTATTTTAATCGATAACATACTTGTTTTAATCGATTAAAACATTCGGAAAAATCTCTTAGTTGTTTTAATCGATTATTTCGCATTTGTATCGATTAAAATATTGACAAAACATCTTTCAAAATAATTCAAGTTATTTTAATCGATTATTTCGAGTTTGTAACGATTAAAATTCTGTCAGAACACTTTTCAAAACAACTTAAGTCATTTTTATCAATTATATCAATTCTACATCAGTTAAAATACTGGAAGAAGGTTTCCAAAAACTCTTTTAATGAAAACAATCGATTATTTCGAAAACATATCAGTTAAAAACTTGTTACAAAAGTGTTAAGAACATTTTAACTGATAAAACTCATATAATATCAGTTAAAACAGTTACTTAAAAACCATTTAACAAAATACTTTGTTTTTAACAGTTTAAACACATTTTAGAGGCATTTGCAAAATCTTTTAAATGAAGAAACCTCATGCAGCAGAGAGATAAGAATGATTATACCTAAGTAAAGATGCAGACTCACTAATCACTCTACCATTTTATCTAAGTGACCTTTGACTGCAACAGAGTAGCCTTTGAC